GTGGTGCCGGTGCTCGTCGTTGCGGCCGGCGGTATTGTGGTTATGCTTGGCGTCGTCCGCGAGACCTGCGTCGGCGGCGGCGGCGGCGGGGAAGATTCCTCCTCGGGTGGCATGGAGAATGCAGAAAGCGGGCGTTCGAGGATCGTCGCCATCCAGTAAAGAGGGTGGTGGTGGCGGTGAGAAAGAGGAAGTCTCGTGATCCGCGACGCGTTCGGGAAGGGGCAAGCAGGTGTACACAATGACGCGCATTCAATAATCGATTATTGGGAAGATTGATGGATTTGGAGGAGGCGAGCGATCCTGGGAGGTAAGCGAAGGAGGTTGTGAGCTCGGGGAGACGGTGAGGGGAAAAAGGCTTTTATTTATAGCTTTTGTGTCGGAAAAACCGAATTTGTGTGGCCAGAAGATATCTGCCCTGACCGGCGCTGATAGGTCGATCAGGCTCCCGAGGGGTTAACCAGGTTGATTAATTCATTATAATGGTCAACCAGCACCTACAGTGGCGGCAAAAAGAAATGAGTTTCGTCGTTTGGCATTGTTTCTTCACCGAATTACTTCAAGTAAAATGCCACCATACACAAATTTCAATTCTATGATGTTTCTTGCAGTTTAATCCATATGACACCAGCTCCGTTCCTCCGTAATCAAAAAAGTGAGGGTTTTCAGGAAAATCAAGATTCTAAAATTAGATCATACCGAAAGATGGTGCATATAGTGTGAAAGTACTCGTAAAGGAGACCTCATTGCCATTTTATTTGACCTGGATTGCTTGAGATTTGAGCTCACAATGTCCGCTGCAAATCCGTCATTTTGACTCAAAATGGCCAAAAATGGCTCTAAAACACCAAAAATGACCAACTTGCGGGCTCTGTAGTGAGCTCAAATCCCAATCGATTTAGGTCAAGTAAAATGGTAATAAGGTCTCCTTTACAGGTACTTTACTGCCGTATTGACCATTTTCCTGTGTGACCTATTTTTAGAATCTTGATTTTCCCAGCAACACTTATGTATTTTATTCTGGTGTAATGACACAGGTGTCGTATGCTTCAACATACACCATTCATCATCGAATTCAGTGTAGTGTATGATAGCATTTTGTTTGGAAAGATTCGGTCAAGAAATAACCCCGAACGGCAAAACTCATTTCTTTTTGCCGCCACTGTATCAGCCTGACCGACCCTGACCAGCCTGGCAGGGTAACATCAGCTATTGTCAGGAAGGGCCCAGGGAAAGCGAAAAACTATTGCACTTTTGTGAAGTTTTTTCCATCACTACTACTACTCCTCAAACTAAGCACCACTGCCCACTCTGTATCATTTACACCGCACAATACTAGAACTTGAAGACCTCTAATTTTCATTTTAGACTGCCCTCAGTCAACACTAAATAGGCTGCAGGTGGTGAGCTATCATATATCAACGAATTACCAGGCCAGAGATTGAAAGTTATTACAGTCTCAATGTGCGTGGTCAACTTCAACTTCAACCATTCCTGAGTTGGAGGGATACCCTCTGTTGAGAGCGAGCGTTAACAAGCGGGACCTGCAACGACAGAAGATAGGGGCTTTCACCCGTTTTATCAAAGTTCCTACAGTTGTTGTCCGAAAACCGATGGGCCGGCGACCAATTTTCTATACCTTCCTGCCTTCAATCCCTGGAAAATTCACATGGAGATGGATAACTACTACACAAGTCGATTCCGCAAGACTCCGGAGGGAAAAGTTCAAAAGTGAGGGAGAAAGAAAGTGAATTATGCACCGTTCCCGCAGACATGCCGATTACGATCACTGGATGAACGCTGCCGCACAGCCTGCGAAAAATCGGACCGTTTTAAGTACGGACCGAACCGGATTCTCTAATATTTCAATCGCACTTTTACCCAAATCTGTATTCTTTCCTCCTCACTTTACCCATAACCGTATTCTTTTGCATTTATTTTGTCCTTATTTGGACAAAAGATTACATGTCATGATCGGGCCATCATTTGCTTGATGGCTATTCGTGTTTTAGACCTGGTATATGGTACCAGGAATTGGTCATTCACTCCTTTGCTTACTTTGCTACGTAATCTGTGTATTAAATCCTAATTATTACTCAAGTCAGTGTTCGAACACACGACCTCTGGGATACGCATAAAAAGGCACTCAGCGACATTAACCACTCAGGCAAGACAACAACACAAGGTACCAAAGTGTGTGCGATACATACCGTAGCATATCTCCCTGATCAGCACTTACATTGCGTGGTCCAGCACTTTCAACCCCAGTCAGTTGTGTTCCTCAAACTCTGTCTGGGAGCTCCGACACAATTTCTGACACAATTTTAGCAGTCAGATGAAGGTGTTGGGATCCGATGAATGTGCCGAAAACCTCGGAAACGGTCATTCATGTCGATGATATGTTGTGTTAAATTTTGGTCGAATCCAATATGGTTCATGGAAAATTTTATTCGATCTTTGACCTCCATGCCGAACCTCCAGCGGTCCATCTATGTCTTTCCAACGGTTTGACGCAGGGCACCAGGTTGCCGAGAGCTGCCGAATCGCAATATTTGTGATGCCCCTGTTGAATCGAACAAAGGTAGGGAGTGAATGGTCAACGGCCCTCAGGGAGGTTCCATTCAGCGCCTTGTTCTGTTCATCGAGATTGTCTCATTGAGGTGGGCTCACGAAAATAACATATCTCTGATTTCACTTTGTGACGGCAAATGATGGTGGGGCGGATTCACAGGTGGTAGATAATGCCAGACAGTTCAGAAAGGAATAAGGGGTGCCTCTATATACCGAAAGCCTCAACCTACACAAGCATGCCATGGAGAACCACATTCTGCCGCGAAGGCCGACGACTCGGCACATTTCGGCACATTTTCCGGCACGAGAAGGGTTTCCAAAATAAGGATTGAAGAAACGGGGTTTCTGAATAGAATTATCCATGGCCCATCATAAAATGCAATGATGTTAACATTCCCGACAGTACTTACATGAACATCCTGTTGAATTTAACGAGGCCCGGGTGGCGTCGCGGTTTGACCGCACCTTTAGTTGTGATGTTCGAAAAGAGTTGGTGGGAACCCAGGACTTGTTGTGCTGGTTATCAGATGCAAATACACTTTTAATAAAGCACATCATCCACAGTCCGCTATGTATATCAGCGGAAGGCAGCCGTTTCGGGTGAAAGATAGTTTCATCAACACGATGAATGCAGATATCACACTCTTACGTGTGGACTCGTAGTCCCAGAATAAAAAATTATATGCATTTTGAGTGTGACCAGGGGCTTCCTGACCAGTCCTGACCCTGCCTGACCCTACCTGATATGTCACACCGGGGAGCCTGATAGGTCCTGATCAGTCGGCCAGGCCTGATCAGGCAAATTGGGTTTTTCCAACAACTGCTCGGGCGGCGGAATTATCCGTTTACAACGACGGAGCACCCAGGCCGGTGCTCGACATAGAATCCAGGCAAAGTCCTGCGGAGGATTTTTACGCTGTCCCCAGGCTACAATTCGGCCCTTGTCTTCCGCATCTATAATGAAAATTGCATCTTGTAGGGCACGCGCAAATTCGATGCGCAGTCCGTGAGAGACCGATGTGATGCGGACTGCGGTTCTGTGAACTGCCTGACCCGGGGTGGGTATAGTCAAGTAGTGTTTACAAAATTTAATTCGTCCTCTAGGGGGAAATTGCTCTGTCGCGGAGCTGCGTAGTTAAAGGTACGCTAATGCGCGATATATAATTTGTGGTGTGTGTGTGTGTACAGTTCTCTCCGTTTGGATTGAACACTTTGCCAGGTTCCTCGAAGATTTGGTTCTTCGTTGGGGGCTGGCCTTCCGAAGGTACCGCGGATGGATAGTTTTCTACACTTGCTCGAAGGGTTCGCTCCGCAATGCGAATGCTGTTCCGTTCCGGAGTACTCGGGTTATCTGTTATGCTTTATCCACCCGTCTCGAACGTATCGGACGGCAGGTCTCTTCAGTACAGTGCAACACTATACGGATGGCTATAGCGATTCCCTTCGTAGCCTGGTTTCTCCGTTGGTGAACGCCTTGAAACGGAATCACTTCCGTTTCGAAGACTCGGGGGTGAAGTGTGCGAATTGAATGGGGGGAATGGTATGATTGTATGGGATAGGCCTTCCGTGTACGATGGGGTGGGTTCCTCGCAAGATTATGCGTACGAACTCCGAAAAGGAACGGTTGCACAAAGCCAAGTTAGGCGACTGGCTGTTTGGTGGTGTGCCGCGTAATCTACTACCGCGCGCTTTCAACTCCGGATTGACTATATTTCCCCCGTATCGATTTATCGAAACGGAGGTGAGACGGACAGGGTTTCTTGACAAGCCCTGGCCTTTTTAGGTGACCTTGGTTTGTCCTACTATTGGGTGGCACGACCCGTAGCGGAGTGTATTTAATTTAGTTCCCCACCCCAATGTACTTCAGGGGGAGTAGCTTAGGTATATGCAGTGGGAGGTAATAAGATAATCATTCCGTATCCTACAGCTGGCTTTTATACCATACTCTGTCCGATACTCGCGCGCATACTTATACCTTTAATTGGAAACGGACGTTCCACCTTTTCAGTTCTGACTCGCCTCTGTGATCGCCCACGCGTTCCCAATTCTGAAGGGGTTAGAAATTGACTCGGAGCAGCCTCGTGTCGCCTCCGTTTCCCGTTTCAGTTGCCCTGTTTCCCAAGAACCACCTGAGTTTCCCGTTTAGTCGCTCCGTTTCCCATACCGCAACCACTTTGTTTCCGTTTGCTCCCTGCCCTGTTTCCCATACCGCAACCACTCCATCTCCATTTGCTCCCCCATTTCCTTCTCCCCAGTACCGGCCAGGTGGCGCAACGTTAGTGCACCCGCCCTTCGTATATGTTGACCAATGTATGCTTGCGAGGTCTTTGTTCGATTCGAAGTCTGGCCATGATATACCATCAAGAAACTTTTGCCTCCGTTTCGTTTTTGAGTGAATGCGCGTTTCGTTTTTGAGTGAACGTTCATTGAACAGCCAGGTAGCGGAGCGGTAACGCGTGCGAGACAAATACAGACACCCATAACGTTTCCTCGCAAGGTCTCCGTTCGATTCGGGGTCTGGCCTTTTTATTTGGAGTCGCGATTTGGATACGCAATCGTTTGTCGTGAAAGTATGTTTTTCCTCCCGTTTGGCCGCGTTCGGAGCGCATCACAAAGTGACAGCTCACACCGAAATGTAGAACATATTGAAAATGTGGAAGGCATCTTTGAGGACACGGCTGCGAATGTAGGAGAGCCAGAGGACCACATTGATTTGTCCAAGTACCCTCTCGCCTTCCTGCTGACTGGCAGAATCAACTTGATGGGTTTTAAGAACTGTGTGATCGGAGGGAATGGCCGTGCCAGCCTCCTCGAGCAGCAATGCTCCAAAACCCGAAGGATCGGATTCGAGAGCATGCAAAGCACCATCCAACTCCGGCAACTTTTCTGTACTTGTCTCAACTTCGGGTTCCGCTGAAGGAATGGTGGGGGCAGAACCGAGGATGAAGCTGCTAGAAGGTTGATGGGAGTGGACAAACGGAGGTGGTTCCTGGTGCAAACAAGATTGAACAGAGTACGACCGAATGACGAAAAACTTTCCTGTAAATGCTAATTCTGAACAAATCTTACACCAACAGCTTGTTGAAAGGGTGAGTGGTTGGAGCGCTACGATGGACCAAAGAAGCTGGACATTTGATCCCAGCCACTTGCCCGTCACCACCCCAATATGTGCTGCACCCTGGCGACGACTTCTGGGATGAACTCAACCAGCAGCTGGTGTGGATGCGCAAGCAGGGCAACCATGACCCAAGTAAGTTTCCAAAGACTTGTTTATCCTGCGGCGCTGATATATATGTGCAGGGGATTCAAGTTTGCTCTTGCCGAGGACCGCAAGAAGTACGGGAAGTCCGCGCCGTGTAAACTCGATCTCATTACTGTAGAACAAATGCATTTTTTCACAATATAATTGTTCAATGGCCAAGAATAGTCTGAGAGTGAGGTTGCGTGAGACGTCGGAACCATTCAGTGAACGGAGTGGTCATGTTATGAGGGCTGAGCAGGAGAACACTGAGTGCACCACATAAAATATGGCTGGGTTGGGAGTACAATACAATGTGGGTGAACAGATGTCCACCAGATGCAATGGTGACACAGTGTGGGGATTCCTGTACAGACATGGCCACCACCTGAGCTCCATGCAGCATCAGCTGGACTTCGAACCTGAGTTCGATGTGACTTCCACGTGGCCCACACGTCTCAGAAAATTGGTGGTGTACTTCTGGACTTACTCGCAGACAAGTTGCCTATAAGTCGAAGTTCGAGTCCTACAGGAAACACTTGTTGCAAGATAAAGCTATCCTACTGTTAAAGAAAAGCTAACCGCTGCCTTACCATTGCGAACCAACCATCTTGAAGGGTGATATGTACCCTACTTCCCCAAACACACACACACACAAGTATTGAGATTGGAGTTAGTGATTTGATTAGATTTTGGAGTTAGGGTGTTAGTTTGAGTTATACTCGCTACACTCGATTAGTGCTTCCTATCTGATGATTTCATGGCTGCACCCCAGTGCACCATTTCAGCGGGAGGGAGCGTGGTCGCAACATGATTGTGAAGGATGTTGGAAGTCCCTATGCCAAAGGAAAATTAGCCGCGATTTACTTAGGTCTTGACTGCTGGCAGTGTCAGGATTTGAGTTCTTGAATGAGGCGAGATGATGTGCTGTTGGCCCGCCATGCCATGTGTGAGCGGTAAATATGAGGAGTATGGGTGGGGCGAGCGGTGGTGCGGAGGGGGACGATAGTGGGAAATGGGTTGGCCTGGGTGTACTACTTCAAGGACCTGCTTCTGGAATGGGTGAAAGGCTGCCGGAGAATCTGAGAAGAATACACAATGTTTCTGGCTGTGGTTGCGGTGGGCTTTCCGGTGGTTATGTGAGCGGCATGAAATATGACAAGCCTATCTTAAGTTCGGGAGAAATCATCGACACCGTGTCTTAAGTTCTGCGGAACTTAAGTTCCCCCCCACAGGCGGCCTACACAGACAGCACATTCCACACTGACCAACCACTTAAGACTTCATTCAAACAACTTAAGTTCAGTTTCAGAAACTTAAGTACTGACAACATTAAGTTCGGTTTCAAAATTGAAGTTGTATTCGGGAAATATCTAAAGGTGAATTAAATCATGCCATACTGGCAATCAGAGCCGTGCGCGAGGGTGGACAGGAATTAGAAGAGGAAGGAGTAATAAATGAAAACGGGACGCACCTAGTATGAGTTGTTGCCACCGCCCATCCCGATCCACCTGACTCGTTCGTAAGGTCTGTACAAAGGAAGTTAAGGAGCAAGGTGATTCAGTCAGAGACTCCACGAAACATGCAACATGTCGCACACCTTTTCCTCCATCATCATTCAACATCTTTTTGCAAACGGTGGCAATAACTGTAATGGGGTTAGAGTGGAAAGAACAGCCAGAAATTGGGGCTACAACCATCACCAAGAGGCTAGCAAGAGCAGGCCATCTTGGGTTAAGGGCTGATGAGTGTGGGTGGTGCATTTCGCAGGCACAGTGAATCGGTGGCGGTGGTCAAAGAAGAAAAGAGAATGTGTGACTTGTCACCTTGTTACTAACAACCAATGGCGAGATTGATTTACACGTGCGGCACGACACATCACTTCGGCTTGCTCTTAACTTCCATAAGCTCTTGAAGCCTCTTCTGTCTTCTGCTCAATGCATCCTCAAATATCCCAGGAGTTCATGCCTCACTCTTAATTGTAGGCAACTACTGGCCTTGCACTGGCCGGTCCTATAACCTCCAACATTACCGCTCCAACGTCGCCGTAGTGGCACTTTTGAAATTTGGTGTGCCACCCGGTTTTTTGTGGTTCCAAAATGTCCGCTGACTATGTACGACTCATAATTGGTCCCGGTACTGTCTCTGCAGAATGGAGGTGAGCTCGGTCTTTCTCTCTCCGTATCCATATAAGTTCGCAAACTTGGGTGCCTGAACTTAAGTTCTGGAGGAACTTAAGTGACCGTAGGACGTGAGTTCTGGAACAACTCAAGTGAGTGCAGAACTTGAGTTCTGGAGGAACTTAAGTTCTGCGCCAGGCCTTAAGTTTATGCTCATGCCTAAGCTAAAGTTCTGACAGGTCTTAAAATGTTGATTTGACAACTTAAGTAGCGGCCTAGGTAGATACAAGGTGTATTTTACAGCTACATTGTATGTTTGTACGACTTAAGTTCCTTGGAACTTAAGATGTGATGTTGATGATTTCACTTAGAACTTAAGAGGAGCTAATAAAGTATTTGGAACGGCATTGGGCCCCCAGCGTCTTGCACTGTGGACGCCACAATGCTGGGTAGGAAGTTGAGTTGTTAACCTATAGGTCCTCCTACATTGGGATGGACAATACCCGGCGGAGTACACGGGACATGGGAGTATTGGTGGCCACACGGGAGCGCTCCCGCCCTCAACGTCAGCAAAACAGGATAAGATTTGAATGTAGCATTAACTATCACGGTCATAATTCATCATGATCACAGATAGAGGAGACACTAATGACACTCATATAGCAACATGTATACCAGAATATTCTGCACTGTGCCTTCATGTATCCAATGTCTAATCTACCTCAGACTGAGCATCTGATATCTTATCTATCAGGACTAAGATCATGGGCTTAACCATCAGTGATTGAACAACTATGTGTGGTCTGGATTGTGTCAGCAGCCTTGCAATGTCATTGTGACCATAGTCAGATGCAAGATGCACCGCGGTGAAGCCATCTGTGTTGACTGAGTCAACAGATGCATTGTGTTCAATGAGCAGCCTCACAATATTGAGGTGACCATAGCGAGATGCCAGATGCAGTGCAGTCCAGCCATTTGTGGTGACCAAGTCAACAGATGCATTGTGTTTGAAGAGCAGTTTCACAATGTCAAGATGACCATAGTAAGATGCCACATGCAGTGCAGTCCAGCCATCTGTGGTGACCAAGTCAACAGATGCATTGTGTTCAATAAGCAGCCTCGCAATGTCAAGGTGGGGATACTGCAATGCCAGATGTAGCGCGGTTGAGCCATCTCTGTTGACCAAGTCAACAGATGCATTGTGTTCAATAAGCAGCCTCACAATGTCGAGGTGACCACGCCTTGATGCCAGATGCAGCACAGTTGAGCCATTGGTCTTGACCAAGTCCACAGATGCATTGTGTTCAATGAGCAGCCTTGCAATGTCAAGGTGGCCATACCGCAATGCCACATGTAGCGCGGTCGAGCCATCTTTCTCAACCAAGTCAACAGATGCATTGTGTTCAATGAGCAGCCTCGCAATGTCGAGATGACCATTGCTCGATGCCAAATGCAGCGCAGTTAAGCCACCTTTCATGACCAAGTCCACAGATACATTGTGTTCCATGAGCAGCCTCGCAATGTCGAGGTGACCGTTCTCTGATGCCACATGCAGTGCAGTCTGGCCATCTGTGTTGACCAAGTCCACAGATGCATTGTGTTCAATGAGCAGCCTTGCAATGTCAAGGTGGCCATACCGCAATGCCAGATGTAGCGCGGTCGAGCCATCTTTCTCGACCAAGTCAACAGATGCATTGTGCTCAATGAGTAGCCTCACAATGTCAAGGTGGCCATACTGCAATGCCAGATGTAGTGCAGTCGAGCCATCTTTCCCGACCAAGTCCACAGATGCATTGTGTTCAATGAGCAGCCTCGCAATGTTGAGATGACCGTACTCTGATGCCACATGCAGCGCAGTCCAGCCGTCTCTCTGGACCAAGTCAACAGATACATTGTGTTCAACGAGCAGCCTCGCAATATTGAGGTGTTCATAGCGAGATGCCAGATGCAGCAAGGTCTGGCCATCTTGAGCGGCCATGTCAACAGATGCATTGTGTTCAATGAGCAGCCTCGCAATGTCGAGGTAACCCCAGCGAGATGCCATATGCAGTGCAGTCCAGCCTAATGTTGTGACCAAGTCAACAGATGCATTGTGCTCAATGAGCAGTCTTGCAATGTCTAGCTGACCGTACTCTGATGCCATATGCAGCGCAGTCTGGCCATATG